CATTTTTAGGCTGCAGATTTTTTTGCTGTACATATTAAGCTGTAGCTGTTATATTAAAATAAATACACGATTGGTAACTATAAGATATGTGCTGTAGTTTTAATTAAATTAATTTATGCAAATAAAAATTGTTATAATTTARAAATTTTATGTTGATTTGAACATRATAAATAATGAACTTCTGAATCATTCATAATAAGTAAAATCATTAAAAAAATTGTATAATCTAGAAAAGAAACTCACTGATTTGATTTGTGGTGAAGAGAAAATAAGAAGACGTGTTTCTTCAAACCTTTGTGACGGCAATATACACACACATATATATATATAGGTTAGACTTTTTTCAATTAGGTAAATCGATGTGCTTATCTTGATTTTTCTATTTTTTAAAAATATTTTTTTTTAAAAAATAAGAGTGTATAGCCATAAAAATGGGGCTGTAGGATTTTACATGTTACAACAAAAGAAATTTTAAAAAAAATTAAAGAGGCTTTAACTTATAAAATTAAAGCAAAAACATGATTGGTAACAAAGGATGTAGGTTTGAAATTTAAAGAATTAAAGTTACAACATGATTGGTAACATAATGATGCTTTAAGAAAAATTAAGGCGGTAGACAAGGTTTAAAGCCCCACCAATCATGCACCTAGTCTCCATATATGTATTTTTCCACACCTTTTTCTAATTAATAGTTAAATAATTAGAAAATGTTTTGAAAACCGTTACTAGATAGTATTAAAAAAAGAACCTTAAAAATTAAATAATTAAAGAAGTGACATTCCTCCATCTTTGTCTTCTTCCTTCCTCTCCCTCTGATTTTTTGTTCGATTTTTTTTTACAGAGAAAAAATGTTGACGTGAAAGCACTCATTGGAGGAGGAATCGGAATCGGAGGATTTTGTGCTTTTAGCTTTTGGAACCGGAAGTCTGCCGCAAAGAAGAAGGCGGAAGCTGAGAAGGCTCAGAAGGAGAGAGTTGTCCAGAAGATCAAAGCAGAAGAGAAGGCAAACCAGCTTGACGAGATCGTTGCCTTGCAGCGAAAACAGAGCAAGGATGAGAAACGGATGAAGAAACAAATGAGAAGGGAAGGAAAAGCAGCGACACCACCGGCGAAGTAGAGCTTTTCTCCTCCTGATTCTACTGGGTTTGAACTTTTTTTTTTTCTTTTTATGATGAGTTCTTGAGATCTGGGTTTATGGTACTTTCTTTTTCTGGTTTTTAATGCACTTACTACTACTTTCGTGGCGTTTAGTTTGTATTTCTGTAACTAGTAGTATCAGGTTCTTCACAATCTTACACGCCCAATTGAAAAGGAAAAGAGAGAAAGTTTTAATGCAATTGGGTAAGACAACATTTTAACATCTGTAGCAGAGAGGTTAGAGTAAAAGGAAAATGTTTCAAGTAGCCGATAGTTTCCGTTTTGCGGTAGATTCGACTAGGTGCTCAGCCAAATCCCGTAAGGATTGAGGGAGCCTTCTGAAAACAGAGCGTGGATGATGAGCACTTATGGCTGCTACCTGTTTCATGTACAAGAGAGATACATTCAATGTTGTTAAAAAGGTCCAAACACAGCAAAATAAGGAAAGGGTCGTCTCAGTATAGAAGCCTAGACTAAACA